CCAAGGTTTATAGGTGCTAATGGGATGCGCCCTTTAGCGGATTCGTTGCTTTCCGAGGTAATTGCCTTGATTTTCATACAACTTTATTATTAGTTGAATGGAAAGGTTAATTCATATCAGAAACAGATAAAATACTAATTGTCTAGAGGGGTGTTTGTCGTTATTGGACTCTGTTGCTCGGGTGATTAATTGGGTTGACATTTTAACAGTGGTTATATCTGAGAAATTTGATGCTTAGTGCAGGCTTCTATGGTCCATGTAGAGAGACCTTGTTGGATAAGTAAACTCGAGCCATTTAATGGGATGTGGTACTTGAGTGAGAACGGAAAACCTCGTGGGCAATTTGATGCAATAGTTATTGCTCATAATGGTAATTTTGTGCCTTAATACTTGTTTCTTCTGTCCCGAGTTTTTTGTTCAATTCAAATTTGCACAGGAACGATACATTATGGTTTTATCATCATAGGGTTCGAAATTAACATTATGCATGCACTGAATAAACTATGAATGTCATATTTTTACTGGTGTTGTTACCTTCAAGATCTAGATAGGGCTGACCATGCAGAGAGAGCTCTAGATGATAGGTGACAATCTCACATTATGGCATATTTTTATATTTGTTTGAGGGCAAATCAAGGTATGCTCGGAGGATAGGGACAAGCTTTTTTTCCAGGATTACAAAAGGTGTATCCATACAAAAGGATGACTCAAAAACTAAATATTCCAACTATTTAGGTTAGGACATTATGGTTTTCGAGCTCTTGTGATTGATAGGTCTGAAGGATGATGGCTATGCTCCTTTTTCATAACATAATTTTTGGCTTGGTAATTTGTTTAATCATTTTAAACATACATGCAATTCAATTAGTTGTTCTAGTTCCTGAACTTCAGTTTCTTACTGTACCGATGTCAGACCCCATGTTCGGCACATTTTTTGGACAAGTACGGGGATATGACCTTCCAACATGGAAAAAGTTGAACATACTTGTTTTGGACATATACATCCAACATCACACCCAAGTCTGAGTAACAGCTTTTCCATGTAATTCACAGGAAAATGTGCAAATCGCTTGCTTGCTTCATCTGGATTACCTCTAATTTCCAGACAAATGAAGGTATATATATTTATTGTTATTGGATATATTCTCATTTTCAACGCAGCCCGATGTTCTCAACTTCTTCTTCTTTTAGAGGCTAGAATTGAGTTCGATATGGGCCCTTCTCGCAGCATTTGAGCATGCCCTTCCAATGAGAGATGGTAAAGTTACATTTGAAGGAGCTTTTGTTAAGAGAGTTGATTCCGTATCTTGGATGGCAAACAATTCAATGAAGCTTTCGGGTTCTCAGAGTGATGGTCCTCACTGTTGGACCTTTTTCAGCACTGCAGCCTACGGAAAACAAAACAAGGTTCCTCAGGTTAGTTTTGAACCGAAGAAAAGCTTTGTGATTCTTATGGACAATCGCTATCCCATTCTATATTGAACCTTCGTACTATTACTTTTGTATTGTGTTTTCAAGTGTAGTATTTGGGAGCCTCGTTAAATATGTGTTGAGTTTTTGAAATTGCATTTCTAGGAAAATATACCTACTCAAACAGCGGGGAAGGTGAAAACAAGCATGCTTGAGGGCGTTGAAGCTGCACTCGGACTATCAAAAGGATCACTGCCTAGACCTATTTACAGTAGAGTCCAGCTATGGTCAAATTCTAACTCCTCTGAACTTGTAGACAAATTGTTGATTTTTTATTATGATACACTCGAAATTCGGAATTGCCTGTTGTTAATTATCAAATAAAGAAGGGTTGCCATACTTGACATATGAGTTAGTATTTGAATCAGGGATTGCTTTGCAATTTGTTTGAATTCGTTTCTCTCACTGTGGACATGCAGGGGTGCAGCTCTTCCGACTAACACTCCTGGTATTCCGTGTATTTTTGATCCGCATGGAAGGGCTGGAATTTGCGGTGATTGGTTATTAGGCTCGAATTTAGAGTCGGCAGCTTTAAGTGGCATGGCTCTTGGCAATCATGTAAGTGCCAATTGTGTCGTTTCCTCAAACTTCAAAAAAGCTTTCGTTTAAACTTAGGATCTGGTTCGGCTTCCTCACAGAAGCAAATATGTTGCTGAAAACACTGTATTATACGTGTGTGTGTGTGTTTAATTTCTCGTCTTGCTGTTCTTTTAAGTTCATTTCATGAATCCTTGGCTTTTGACATCAATATTTGTGAAGAAACGTTGGGGATTTAATGATGTAGATTGCAGACTATTTACAAAGTGATGGATCATGTCCGGAGGAGTTTGCTGTGGGTTTAGAGAAGGAATTTCAGGCAATTGAAGGACATGATATTGGACAATTTGCAGCTGCAGGGGTTGATTCCTTAAAACAAGACAACCAAATGCCAGAATTTCAACTTGCCTCCTAAAATCTCAATCTTCAACCTCCAAAGATTCCTGCAACATCCCAAGTATGATTTTCTCTTTCCCGAGCTGTTTCTATTTTTTAACAAATGAGACCGTAATTTGAGAATTAGAAGATATTGCAAATGCAGAGATTCGAGACGTCTCTTGTACGTCTAGACGTTATGCTCAAATCATGAAGGTCACATAAGTCACCAAAACGGTTCACAATTCAGTTTAGAAATTTTAGTAGAAATATATACAAAACTTACAAAAAGTTTATTCAAATATTATTTTACTATTAAAAAATAATTTAATAAATATCTATAAATCCCTCAAATATTGTTAAGGTTTCATACTACAAATATCAAATCAAATATGATAGCTATAGACCTCAAATTAAATATCAAATTCAGTTTAGAAATTTTAGTAGAAACATATGCAAAGCTTACAAAATGTTTATTCAAATATTATTCTGCTATTAAAAAATAATTTAATAAATATCTATTTATTCCCCAGCCGTCTCTCTTTGGTCCATCCTGTATGTTAGGTAAGGGTGCGACAGTGGTAAAGCGTCAGCTGAGTGGTCAGGCGTGGGGTTCTGGAGGTGTTAACTGTATCGACTCTTTTTTACTATTTTTATTACTTTTTGTAACTTTAATATTTTTTTATTTTTATAAAATATAATAATAATCTTTTAATATATACAATGGGCCCAAAGTTCATATTAAGTCCAATTTCAAAGGAAGTCCAAATGAATGAAAATCAAATTCCAAATGAAAGCCTAAATTGGCATCGACACAATAATTCAATTGAAAATAATGATAATGTTTTAATATATATGACTCTTAGTTCAAACAATTGTATCTGCAGGGTGTCTATGTTTTGTCAATAGGTTAAAAAGTTGTGAATAAATATTATATTGTATTCATCCAAATTATTAAAAATAATTACGAGTTTTAAAATACATTTTTTGAATTAATCACTGATATTCAATCTATTGATCGACTATTCTATAATGGGTACCGCAGAGGTGAGAGTACTCCTATCCCAGTTTGCTCGATTCGCAAAAGCCAGAGTTCGAATACCTGACTTTGTTTAAGGAATCTAGTGCCTCATCCTACTAGACTAGGCCATCTTGGTAAAATACATCTCAATCATTCAAACTAAAATCAAGTTATTGCCAAATTGTTATGTCATACTTAACAAATGTATGGTCGAATAATCGTCCCAACGCTTTGCTTCAACTATTCCAATTCACCATTTCAGTTTCCGAAAAGAGATAATGAAGCAAATTAACCAATTTTTTAATCTTCTCAGCAAATCAACAAACCTTTTTAGATTTGATCTTTACAAAGGGATGGGGAAGTAAATCAATATATTTTTGCATATCATTAATCTAGAAAGTAAATTTATTAATATAATGATTATAATTATTATAGAAATAAATTTATTAATCTAATAATCATAATTCAATTTATTAATCTAATGTTTATAAAAAACAATCTGTTTCAATTGTGAAGAATTCTTTTTATTAATTTTATCAATCATAAGTTAATCATAAGTTCTGTTTAATAGAGCTTTTGAGTATATTTATAGATTACAATTTATAAATATAAAAGTAACCATATTAATTTAATTATCATACTTAATCATGTACCTTATAGTGAAGAATTATTTACAGGTTTAATCAATTACAAGTCAGGTTTAATCAATTACAAGTCAGGTTGAGTAATATCAGTTATTTGGTTAATCTCGGATTTATATTCATATCAGATTAGGTTCGGTTGACATTATCAGATTCAATTTAGGTTCAGGTCTAGTGCAAGTCGAGTTCATATCCAAAACTACCAAGTTCAACTCGGGTTCAAATCAACATCAGTTTAGACTCGACTCGATTTCAGATCACCACCACTCCAGGTCACAAACGATTCCAACTCAATTCAATTATAGTCAATTTTACAGGTTAGGTAAATTTTTAACATCCCAGTGACAACACAACACCTATAAGTGACAGACGAGAGACAAGAAAGTGCAGACCTTGCTTGGTTGAAGGAGATAACTTTGCGGATTTCTGTTGGATGGCTGGAATCGGTTTGTTCAGTTCAAATAGTTTTCTTAACCATCCGACATGGCAGAGTGTAAGTTTAAAACATTCAGAAGAACGTAGGCCAGCCACCCAAAATTGGTAACGTCTTGATCCACCAAATCTAACATCATACAAATGGATGGTCGAATCATCATCCCAGCCCTTTGTTTCAACTGTTCCAAATCACCATTTCAGTTTACACCTTAACCTGCTTCGCCTTGTGTTTTCCTTCTTCTTTTTTTGTTATCATCCCAAAAACACAAACTGAAACACCCTGAATTTGCAATATATAGCTCATCCCATCACAGCTTCCATTACAAATCCACCCCTCACTCAGTTTTTCTCTTTCAAACCATTGCCTGGCCGCCTCAGCTTTTAGTATTGCTGCCGGCGGCCCAGCACATGGCGTTAAAGGCTTCCATTTTTCTGTTCCATTGTGAACAATAACAAGAAGAAGCTTCAAAAACTTATATAATATATATAAATTTATAATATCTGCAAGTTTGTGGAAAGACATGATCAAAGGTGGAGAGGGGATGACGAAGGGGACGACAACATCTTCATTATGCGAGTCGGAAAGGGAAGAGTTGAAACGGATGTTATTGGTGCCTCCGCCATTGATGAAGAGCAGGAGGTATTTGTCAAAGCAGTTGTCGTTGTGCGAGACGTCTCGAGACATTGCATGGGAGAGAAGGCGACGCCAGATTCTTCGTCATCAGAGAGGGAAAAATGGGTTGACAGATGAAGATTTGCATGAACTTAGAGGCTGCATCGAGCTTGGATTTGGATTCAACGAAGAAGATGGTCAGAAACTGTGCAATACGTTGCCTGCTTTGGACCTGTATTTCGCCGTGAATCGTCAGCTTTCGCCTAGTCCGGTTTCCACACCTCAAAGCGGATGTTCTTCCTCAGCATCTTCACTGGGTAGCAGATCATCTTCTTTTGACAGTCCCGTAAGTGAACCAGCTGATTGGAAAATTTACAGCCCAGGTAAAAGATTTTAATGGCAATACGATCCAAACCCTTCATTTAAAATATTAATATGCATCTATTTCTGGGACACTAAATGCATGATTGTTTCCAGGGGAAAATCCACAACAAGTGAAGACGAAGCTAAGACATTGGGCGCAGGCAGTGGCATGTTCTCTCATGCAATCATTCTAATCAAGTTTGAGTTGCACAAGAAAATAAGAATGAAAGCTACAAAAGAAGAATATATATACATACATAGAGAAAGAAAAGAAGAGTCAGTCAGTGAAGTGGCTTCCATTGTTTAGGGTTCTTTCTTAGATTTAACCATTTAAATTTAAAAGTTATTACGTACAATAGGCATACTTGTTTTACTTAAAAGTATCGACACTTTGACCATTATGTTGACATAAGGATTTATTTAATATTTTCAATACACTTCACTTTATATTCCAAATGATATTTTATGTTAACTTCGGTTGCTATATTAGTCAAAAACAACTATTTGATATTTCAAAAGTTTAATTGAAATAAAAATTTAACATACAATAGTTATTTATCATTTGATTGCTACAACTATGTGATATGATATATTTTATTAATATATAATGTCATGATTTAAAATAAAAAAAAAATTAAAATACGTAAAGTACAAATTCTTAACTCCAGATCAACCATCCAAACTCAAAAATACAAATGCCCATAAATCCCAAGTTTTCTCTTGCATCCAAACGGATGGCTCTTCATTTTCAGTCACCTTTTGTCCATCGATCCCTTCCTTTCTGATCACCCTCTGTCCACCGATGCTCCAAATCAACCATCTAAACCACAAATCAAAAGAAACCCCTCAAAGTCCTAACATTTCTCGAGCATCCAAGCTGATGCCCAACATTTTTAGCCACCCTTCGTCCATCGACCTCTTTATTTTCGACCACCTTCCATCTATCGACGTCACACATCCCCATGCCTATTCCTAATCCAGACATCAGAATATGTAGGTCCCCATTAACTATACACTCACATGTACACCTGATAAGGACTTTATGCATATAACATAAGGACTTGCGGTAAGGACTTGTCATGTGCACAAAATAAAGGGGTTTATGGCCTAACGACTTATTCTACGCATAATGCATAGAAACATGCAGTAAAATTTTACAAATTATAAACTAAGTCTGAAATATTTCATCCAACAATAATCTTCCACGACAATAATAATATGCATATTGTTTTTTAAATCAAACAATGGTTTGATTTATTAAAATATAAAAATACTATGTAAACCAAAAACATGTTAACATATCATATAAATATCTGTAACTAGAGATCATACCATCAAAATGCATATAAGAGATTTCAGAGTAATTCACATAAGTAAATTAGAATGATAATATAACATCGTTAAGAACACACTAGAGGGTCCAGTTTATTTCTCGAAGGTACTTGGTTATCAAGAAGAGAACATGAAATTTTTGTCAACTTCGAACTAATTTTTTAGAAATGACATTCCTATTAAAAAGGGTTCGATAACTAACGACTATACCTAAAAATTCGAGAATTGTTACATCGAGATTATTTACAATAAAAAAAGTTTAGCCTTTAAATCGAGGTATGACACCCTATCTCTCACCTTTGTTCCCAGCACTCATCGATCTTCCTAGCACTATGTTTTGGTCACGTACCCCTGTTTCCCTATCTAATGTGAGCTGCCCATATGTTCTATGACACCATTAACCTGCCTTGAACTACATAGTACATTCTATACTCTTATCGTCACATATCTACACCCCATACGCAGCCACCTTACTTTAATCCCAAACTAAACTCCAACAAATTTTTAAACTTTAAATTAAACCATAAAACCCTCTAATCTTAAATCATACCCTATAACCCTCTAATCTTAAATCATACCCTATAACCCTTATGTCCGAAGCAGTGAGATGAGAGTCAGAATAGTGAGGGTGCAACTGATTAGAGTGAAGATGAAATTTTAGGGTATGATCGATGAGGATGAAAATGATGATTTGGGGTTTGTAGATTGAAGATTAGAGTTTGTAGATTAGAAATTTGAATTAATATATAAAGATTTTATTTTTATTTAAAAACTTATGTGACAAAAATAATGATAAAATATGTCACGTCATAAGAAAATATTAATAAAAAGCTACTTTATCATGGAGTGATCAAAATAAAAATAAAAAAATTAAATTTTAATGATTAAATTAAAAAAATAGACTTTAATGACTAAAATAAGAGTGAAAAGATAGTTGAATTGTAAAGGATATAATTTACCCTAAAAAGAAAATTGTTTTAAAGTGAGATGGATTTTTTTCTTTATTATTTAAATCAATCTTTTTCTTATCTTTCTTACATAAAAAAATTATCGTTTGTGTTGTGCCTCTCTCCCCCAAAGCTTATAGAAGTCCTAAAGAAGAAACTTTTTCTCACATGAGAGACCTAAAGAAGATAAAGATTGGGGGAGATGTTCAAAAACCCTAATTTATTGAATATTAACTGAAACCCAGTTCCAACTCCGAGCCATAGATTCCCTAATTAACATCATTATTTAATCTTTTTGTTTGTGGGGGGTTTTCATTATTGTTTCCAATGGCTGAATTAGGGCAACAAACGGTGGGCTTCTCTAGTTTAGTGAGTCGAACAGCCGAGGAATCTTTCACGTCATTGAAAGAACTTGTGGAGAAATCTAAATCAGGCGACCAATCGGATACGGAGAAGAAGATCAATCTCCTTAAGTATATAGTCAAGACCCAGCAACGGATTCTTAGACTCAATGTTCTGTCTAAGTGGTGTCAGCAGGTGAGTCGTCCCGCTCATCCCCCCCCAGTTCACTTTGCTAACTTCGTTTCAAGTTTCACCATTCTTTCTTGGTAAAAAGATTTGTGGGTGTTTTTGCTTGGGAAATGTTATGGTTTTTTAATCGAACGATTGGAGCTCTCTTTTTAGTATAAGATTTATTGTATTTTGATTTTTAAGTCTGCGACTGGCCCTTTTTGTTCGTTAGTTATCTTTTGAGTAGCTATTGAAAATGGAAGTGAATCAAGGATTTTACTTGCTCCACGTGTTCTTTTGTTTCTGGCTGTGCATTTTATAGGATTTTAGTGAATTTCGAATCTCTTGAAGTGTAGAATCAAGGCATTATTATGGAATTCTAGCTTCGTGTTGTGTGTAGTGAGAACAAAGAAGGAAGAAATACAAATACTGGAAAAAAATGGAGGGGGTGAAAATCTATCCGAGTGTCAGCTATGGTCTTCAGTCACCATTGGTACCCATTTCTTATTTAGACTACTAGTAATGTGCTGAAATTGATTACTTGTGTGGATAAATGTGTAAGTGTTAACCTGATGAATGATGATTGCTGGATTATCACGGATTTGCCCACCTTTTTGTTTCCATTAAGTTTTTTATGAGTTGCAGCACCTTTTATGACTTCAATTTCCTTGGTAAATTTCCAACCCTGAATTCATGCCATTACTGTGGCCTGTAGTTGAATTCTGTCCAAACACAATGGTTGCCTTGAACCTTTGCATATTTTTTATTGTTTTAATTGTGTTGGTTGGATTTATATTATCTTATTTAATGAATTTTAACTATTGTGATGTGCTAGTATGCTGCTACTAAATTGCAACTGGAATTAGATTTGTACCTTTTATTCCAAATTCCATGGAGTCATTTCCGGATGGGTATCAATTGAAATATTAGCTATATAAGCTTGTACTTTGCTTTATGTCGTGACTTGCAGGTTCCACTCATACACTATTGCCAGCAACTGACATCGACTTTATCAAGTCATGAAACATGTTTCACCCAGGCTGCAGATTCATTATTCTTCATGCATGAGGGGTTACAGCAAGCTCGTGCCCCTGTGTATGACGTTCCATCTGCTGTTGAAGTCTTACTCACAGGATCATATGAGCGATTACCAAAATGTATAGATGATGTGGGTATGCGAAGCTCATTAACTGAAGATCAGCAAAAGCCGGCTTTGAAAAAGCTGGACACACTTGTACGCTCTAAATTAATTGAAGTTACATTGCCCAAGGAAATTTCTGAAGTGAAAGTCGCTGATGGTACTGCTTCGATTCGTGTAGATGGAGAATTTAAGGTGTTAGTTACACTTGGTTACCGTGGACATCTATCATTGTGGAGGATTTTGCATTTAGAATTACTGGTTGGTGAGCGAAACGGGCTTGTGAAACTAGAGGAGATGAGAAGGCATGTCCTTGGAGATGACTTAGAGCGCAGAATGTCTGAATCAGATAATCCATTTGCTACCTTATACTCGGTTCTGCATGAGCTTTGTGTTGCACTTGTTATGGATACTGTCATAAGGCAAGTACAAGCACTCCGACAAGGGAGATGGAGAGATGCTATACGCTTTGAGCTGATATCTGATGGAGGGAGTGGTGGTTCTGCACAGCTGAACCAAGATAATGAGTCTGATTCAGCTGGACTACGAACTCCAGGATTGAAACTTGTCTATTGGCTAGATTCTGATAAAAACTCAGGTGCGTCAGACTCAGGATCTTGCCCATATATAAAAATTGAACCTGGACCGGACCTGCAGATTAAGTGTCAACATAGCACATTTGTTATAGACCCGTTAACTGGAAAGGAGGCGTGTTTCTTCCTTGATCAAAGTTGCATTGATGTAGAAAAGCTTCTATTAAGAGCTATATCATGCAATAGATATACACGTCTACTGGAAATTCAGAAAGAACTGATAAAAAATGTGCAGATTTGCCGAGATGCTAGTGACGTCATTCTCCTTTCACAGGCTGATCAAGCTGATAGTGAGCATATAAAGGTTGCTTCCCTTGTATTATGGATTTATTTGCTGGCACCTTATTCTGGAATGTCTTAATCAGGAGATAGAATCTACTTGCGTTAAACCTATTATACCTTAGTCCTTAGTTTTCTGTCTTTTAATCAAACTTTCATCACCATATACTGTTGCTGTAAATTTTATTACAATATCACTGATGATACTTTATGGTAAATTTTATTTTTCCCCCCTCCATTTTGTGTTGCTGAAGGATGCTAAGCTTGACAGCAAGGAACAGGGGGGGCAGGAATTATTGCGTGTCCGTGCTTATGGCTCGTCGTTTTTTACCCTTGGAATAAATATAAGGTCTTTCTTTACCCCTACAAGTGACATGTCATTTCCTGTCTCTAGT